ATCAGGGAGTTCCAATGCTGCGTCTTCCTCAGGGATGTGTTTTGGGTCTGTATCCTGGTCCCTTGTTTCTCCTGCTTTATTTTGTTTCTTTGTGTGGACTGTGATGCTCTGTTGTCTCTGAGGCACTGTGACATTTTTGTGTTTATATTTAATTGGTGACTGTATGTTGGAGTGACTTGCCCATGATTTTCGTTTTGTTTTGTTTGTATGTTATCTACGCAAGCAGGGTACTGTGCTGTGCTCCTCTATTCACTAGTTGACAGCACTTATACACTCACTACCTGTCCCCTTTCCTGTTGTCAGCCTTTTGTATGTCCTTGCCGACCTTGGCAAACAAAGCCTATTCTTAGGTCCCTGGAATCTGAATGAGAATGCTGTCACCTTAAAATCCAAAATGGTTGCCACTTTTAAAGATTCAAAATGGCTGCACCCTTGGTCAATTTAAATATCCAAAATGGCCACTGCTTGTAAACATTCAAAATGGCTGTGCCCTCCGGACAGCAGAAAATCCACAGCTCAGCTTGTCTTCCTCCTTGCTGTTTCCTTCCTAGTAATAGGCCACCAGCGCAATTGTCCCTGCAGCCCTTGGTAACCAGGGCTGATTTTTAAGTCAATTCTCAGGTCCCAACACCACTTGGAAATATTCAGGCTGTTGGTCCCCCCAGAGTAGGTGACAGTCCGGAGCTCCAACTGTCTCCATACTCACTGTTTTTGTTCAGGTTTTTCCACTAATTGGTGCCTAATCCACTTCTGTATAGTTCCTTTCAAAACTCAGGGCTACAGGATTATCTTCTGTATCTCTGTCAATGGGTTTTTCTGTTCTTTGTTGAAGAGGGTTTTTGTCGCTTGTCTGCCTATTCCTCCATCTTACTGGAAGTCCAGCAGTGGCACTCTTGTCTCACCCCAAGTCTCCCCTCTCTAGTAGCTTTATGAAAACACACATAAACATAAAGAAAAAATATTTTATTTCATTCTTAAATAACCACACTTACTATTTGAATGTGCACTGTTGGACACCAAGCAATTTCTCAAATCTTGAAATAATATTTCACATTTGACCTGTTCCATATTGATATTCATGTGGCACTTGCTTTTTATTACAGAAACCACCAAAAACCCAGCTTTGTAAGGACAAGACATTATAGAAAGGAATGTAGTGTGGTTTAATACTGAGATAGTGAACTACCTTTAGCTAGTAATTTGTGGAGTCCAACAGATGCCAAATATCACTGTTTCCCTCAAATTTTAAAATACCCCATAGCATCCCTGAGTTTGCTGGAACATCTTGGGCAAATTCATGGATACATGGTATTCTATTATTATTATTATTATTATTTTAATTGTGAGTTGGGTGAAATTTACAGAGCAAATTCACTTTGCATACAGCAGTTCATACATATTTTGTTTCATGACATTGACTGTAATTCCCCACAACGTAACAGCTCTCTTCCTACTTCTTCCCTGGTTACTTTGTCCCTGTATCCTTCTTTCCCATGCATTCCTACCCCTTCCCTCAGCTATCTCCCTGTGCAAACACTGCCCTTCTGTTCTCCCATGATAGATCACTCTAAGGAGTGTATCTACCTGATGTAAATGTTCACCATATGTGCCTGTCTATTGTTTGGCTGGAAGCCACAGGAGTGATTTCTGTTCCAGATCTGAAGGGTAGCTAGGGGCCATAGTCTCTGGGGTCTCACCAAGCTCTATCAGACCAGTAAACCTGGTCTTTTCTTTTCTTTTTTTTTATGATTTTGAGTTTTGTTCCATGTTGTCTATTAGCCTTTTTAAAATTTTATATAAACAAGATCGTACTATCCTAAGTCTTTATTTCACTCAAAATTTTGCTTTTGTGACTTAGCCTTGTAGATCTAGTTCATTATACTGGAGGACTATATTTTCTTTCTTTCTTTCTTTTTTAATTTTACTGTGATTTGGGTGAAAGTTTGCA